CTCGAGACTTATGCTCATCCGCGTGCAAGCATGTAACTTTTCATCTCCCGCATTTTTTGTTTCTCCTTTTTTTCTCCAAACAAAAGAAATATTCCATAATTTTTATTTTTTCCGCCAGGAGGAGAATTAATTCATCTTATTTTCGAAATATTCAAAGAATTCAAAGACCTTTGTAAAAGCCATACTCTATAGTAAATTTTCCTGCAATTTCTAGTTCACTTTAAAAACTGAACTTGTTATTATTCTCGTGAGGTGGGTTTTTCGTATTTTTTTTCACTCTATTGTCCCGAGGGATGAAGTGAATGGAGACTTTTTATATTTGAAGCTTACAATTTGTGATTCAGAAAGCCCATTTTTCCCCTGTGAATTTCCGATCTTGTCAAGCCTCCACATTTCGACGGCTCTCTTGTAATCCGACAATTTCCCGTTCGATCGCGTTAGTGAATCGGAAATGGTCGGTCTCTCGCTCACTCGTCGACGTCGACACACGTCAGAAGTGCATATATTCGATTTGAATCGCGGATTTCACACTTTCTTCTTTTGATATTTTTCTTTTTGCTCAAAACAGCCCCACTCGTGATGCATTGGAGCGTGTGTGTTGAACTCGAAACAAGATGTTTCTCACTGGAATCGGGACAGTGGTTTCACACTCACATCAGTGAAATTGACTCTCTGCCACACACACCTATACAGATGCACTCATGTGGGTGGAGTGAAAAAACAAACGACAGTCGACAACGCGAGAATGTTAATGAGAGATCTCGAAAAAGTGGGTCGTTGTGAGGAGAAATGCAGAAACGTATAAATACCCATCGATCGATAACGATTTTGGCTTCTTGCGAATTATTTTCAACGCGAAGAGAACTCATTATTATTATCATCCTACCGCTTTTGTTCTATGGGTATAGTTCATTTTTTCTCACTTTTTCTCACTTTTTCCGATGCATTTCAGGTCACTTCATTTTCATTTAAAATCCAAGGAAATTTATAATAATTTTGTGTGATATTTCTGATATTTGCACCGTGAAAAGAGGGGAAACAAAGAGTCTTTTTAAACCAAAATAGAAAGTAATTAATCCATATTATGCAGATTAACATTTTTAGAATAATAGTTGGAACAATTGGTTCAGTGCCTGTTTGTTTGTGAATGCAAACAAAAACAAATAAAAATGATTGAATTCGACGGAGTGGACGTGACAGTGCACCACCTTTTACACCTCTGCGGTTGATTTTCGTTGGCTATTGCGGTAAATAGGAACAAACATGAGTCATTTGCGAATAGTTATATGCACGCATTCCGCTGGCAGGTGAATCAATGTTTTTCTCTGGTATATCTGTGGAAATTGAGGACCACTAATTCGAGTTGTGCGTAATGAGGGGTTACGCGATATCCGTGCCTATCAATAGCATTGATTGGTGCAACCAATCAACCTCTATACTTCTATTTTGCTGGCTTCTCGTGCTCTTCTAAATTATAGAGGTATTCAAAGCTTCATGTGTCCACCCCGAATGAATTAAACCATATTGCCTCGAGCTATGGAAATTTATTTGACAGAAGCGAATTTTTCTATAAGCAAATACACAAACATGACGTGTTGCTTTTTATTCTCCTCAGATTTATTTTATAAAATCAAGATCAAATTGTTTTATTTATTAATCTTGTTGATACAATTTTTTTATTATTGTACATGCAAGGGACGTTTTTCCTATTTTCCCTTTTTTGTGTTTCACAAAAACATTGCTTCTCTCTGCCTCGTAAATAGTTTATTATTGAGAATCCTTTACAACCAAAAGCCACATCAACTGTAAAACAAGAGCAAAGTAGGAAAAAGAATTTTCTCATTCAAAGAGTTTTATAGTGGATTAGAATAAATTTCAAATGAAGAATTCTTCTTCTTCCTCTTGCTTTATTTTTACTTTTTTACTTTTTTACATTTCTCTTGGGTTAATTTTATCTAGTGCTGGCGGAAAGGGCGATGATTTTCGGGATTGAAAGTGAAGCAATATTGTATTTCTGATGGATGAGTGTATGAACGCGATGATGTGCGAGTAGGTCGATCTGGCCAGAATAATGCTGGATGCTGATTTGCTGATTTGCCCTTCGTATCACACTTCTGTGAGTATAGTAAGTATTATAGTACAGTATACGAGATTGTACCATACTATACAACTCCACTATATTATATCCTACTATACATCGACCCACATTCAATTAGATATGTATGAATGTATGTACACATACTGCATCATATGTCTTGTCGAGTTATCAAGTAAAACTGACGAGCACACCAATCGGATTACCAGCTTTGTCATTTGTCGCCCTCTTTTCAACGTGTCGGGTGCTTTGTTTCTGCCGCATAAATGATTTGAATAGAGTGATAACTAAAAATTCGATGTAAAATTACACATAATTTTCTTTCTTTCCGTTTCTGCAATTTATCTTATTTATCTTGTTTATCTTATTTTTACAATTTACAAAACAAAAAGTTGTTGCATGTTGTTGTATGACATATAATTCACATTTAATTTATATTAATAAATAAATAAATAAATAAATAAATTAATGGAAATCGTTAAGTAGAGGTAAAATTGTGGTAGCATCGCTTGTGATTGCACTATCATTATTTTCTTTTAAAGGCTCGTAAATTTCACGATCTCCTCATCAATTTTTATTTACACTGACAATAATCTAGGCAATCTTTTATGGAATGTTTCAAAGTGAATAGTATCGATTTTCAATATTCCTGCGAGAAAAGTATGTTCATGAGAAACCTAATATTACTTATGTGTGTGGAGAAAAACTATGATAGAAATACTTTTATGCCATTAACAGAAAATACCTTAGAATATATTACTCGTTTTTCGCTTTATTTCCCTAATAATTTGGAACAGAAATTTTATATGCAAAAAGCTAGAAGCGAGGCTAGAAGTGAAAACACTCTTAAGTTTATCTTCTTCATTTCAATGCAAAGCAAATGACTATTCAATACAAATGGAAGTTACTTTAAGAAATAAAGTGTGATTAAATAAAATCTACCTAATACTCTTTCCTTTAGGTTTCTTTTATATAATTTTAATCTTAATACAATTACATATTTATTTAAATAATTTAGATATACGTAAAAATAGTTTTTTCATCAAGTTTGATTTTGTATTGTGGAGCTTTTTTCAAAACCTATAAAAGTTAAAAAAGATCCTTTGACAGGCAACAAATAAATTTTTTTATGAGCAAAGGAGTGTCTTAAGTCGATACTGAGGCGAGAACCATGTATACTTTGACCGTTCTACATTTTTTGTTATGATACAATTTGCAAAGGCAAAGTTTAAATTAATTTCAGTGATTCAGTGAATTTTAACGTAAATATTTAATAATAACCACTTTTGCTGAAAAGAAAATGTATTTATAAATTGACTTTTTTTTCTAAAGTAAGCTTGTATACTGCATTGGTTTTTTTCAGCATAACAAAATAAATTAAATATGATTTACTGCGCTGCCTGAAATATAAACATATTAATACATAATGCAGTTCAATTACCTTGTGGAGTAACATAAAATCGATAGTGCTATAAAGTGTCCTAACTCATAAAATACGTAAAGTGATTAATGACTGCTTTTACAATTAAGCTTCTTGAATATTTTACTTCATAGGTGTTGACATTTTTCATGTTTATAATCTGGAGATAAATTTTCGTTTTCATATTTTACATTCAGTACTTAAATATTTAAATGGAAATAATTTTCCACTCATGCACGATGAAGACATTTTTTGATGATAGAAATTTTTTTTTTTTAACATTTGTGAAATAAAACTTTAATTTTAGAGATAAAATGAGCATGCTGAATTTTTTAATAAAAATCGTATTCTCTTAAAAAAACTATTACTACCTTTTCTATTCCTCGTAAAATTTGAAAACTCAGTTTCTGACATCTTTGGAGCATTAAAAGTGTTCTCAGCAAAATTAAGTTGCCGACGAGTTGGCGTCTCACTCAAGTGCTATAGGCTTCATTTAAACGCAAAAACAATATTCCCTCTAATTATATATCTTTTGAAAAGTTGATACCAGATAAAAACAGTTCTTTCGTGGGACTGGCAATGTGGCACATCTTCTTCCAATATTTTGAGAATTTGAAAAACCAAAAAATTCTCGTTTATCATACAACTTTAAAGTTTCACGATTAACGAGAGTTTAGTTTGAAGCACGTTGAAACTTTGGAGGAAGACAAATAGCACTGAATAAATTCTAGAACAGACAGAGACAATCTTCCCTATATATAAAGATTAACAGATTAATTTTTTGTAGATGATAAAATTTCAGTTCGTTGAATAATGGCAGGCTAGGATTAAAAGTCATCTTATGGTAGAATGCTCGGAACTGAAAATTTAATTAAGCTTATTCTAAAAGTACCTTTTAAAAGTACTTTTCAAAAGGTTTTTAACAACAGTGTATTTTATACAAAAGAGATGACTATCAGGAATATCAGACCTGTATTCCGAATTTTAATATTATTTTTTTAATTGCAAATAAATTGCTTGTGGAAATATGGTTAGGATTTTCAAACACGTTTCTATTTTAGAATCTATATTCACTGTACCTTTTTCCCTCGTTCAATGTATAAATTGTAAAATCACGCTTTAAATTCTATTCGTTGAAAATCGATTCACGACGAAAATTTCGCTCAAACTCTCCAGTGATTCACCTGAATTCGTTTCAGGTCAAAATGGCTCGTAGTATTGGATAGCAGACATAACACAGATGCTTTCTATTTGATTCCACAAGATTCTGGGATATGTACGTGTGGAATTCTGAAGTCGATTTCAAGACAATTGTCACGTACTCGTTTTCAGAGAACTTTAAACTACATACACTTGAAATCTTGAGTTTAAATTGTAAAATTTTTTTCCCTCTTGTTGATAACGTGAGAGATGTTAGAAATTGAATATAAGAAAGTTCTCCGGCCAATACTGAAACTAACTGAGAACGTTTTCTGCCTTTTTCAGAATGGATAATGGAATGCAGAGAGAAGAGTCGACATCGGTCGCGGTTTCCCGACGGTGTTTTTCGAGTTCATCTCAGTGGTGCCAGTCTTTCCTGAAGTCGCAGGATATTTCGGAGTCCTCGATAATTGTTGGGTGCGGCAGAGCTGCCAGAGTGGCGATGCGACGATGAGCCCGTCGAAGGAGGGGCAACGCGTCATCCGACAACCCCCTGAAGAAGTTTGTCCCGCAAGCAGGGCAGATTCCTCTGAATCGGGCAAGCCAAAACGTGCGACCTCGATCGACCGACTAATTCTTCTTTGTGGCCATGGATCACGAGACCAGGAACGGCACTGGCAGCAGCGACGGCGACGAGGAATGCATCATTCATTTTATCATTGGAAACCGCAAAGAAATTGCCAGTTTCCGACCTGACCAAGTCACCAATAAAGAAATCAAAGGTAGGCACAATTTTAATTACTCTTTTTGTCTTTTTTTACTCCTCCAAGCGCTCCAAGGTTCTTTTCACATAGCTGATATTCCAGTACTTTTTGCGCCCCTGGCTTGCCCCGGCTCAAGCACCGCCATGCTCTAGAAACTACACAACCGATTATTATGATATGCAAGACATGAACTAATATTAAAAAGGATACCGAAAAAGCTTTTTTCAAAGTACATTTTCAAAGAAATGTGTCGCTCAACTTTCCGATCTTCTGCATCAATTCTAATATTACACCCCTTGAACAAATTCCGATCACCATTGTTCTCTTGTCTCACAGCAGTCTTTGTTCATTGCCGAAATTATGTTTACCAATGCTTCTCTTGCCTATCCACAAAGCACTAGTCAGAAACTCTTGTCACAAGCCTGACAAACTTTATCGTTTCTGTTATAACATTGTAATCAAATTTGATATACCTGAAAAGGCAAGTAAGCAAGCGAGCGAGCGGGAGGGAGGGAGAAGAGCATTGATTAAATTTCTATCGTGATTCTATAATCATAGGCGGGTTAAAATCGGAATTTTAGAAATGTTTCTTTTAATAAAAATTCACATCATTTGGTTCTTTAAATTGCTTTAACTTTAATATTCTTCGGAGAGTTTTCTTTCCAGAGGTCATTTGAAATTTAAAGGAAACAAGTATCGATTCTAGGCAATCGATTTATTGGTATAGACATCAATCTGCCTTTCCTGCGAAAGTAACCGCCTCCTTGGGGGACGCGATATTTGGCGGAAATTACGAAACCGTTTGCTATTCCATGTCTCTACATTGATCTCACAACCACGACCACGACCACGACCACAACCTCATTCCGGTTACAAAGCAACTCAAGATTTTTACCTCTTCAAAGTTAATTCAACTAAAACTTTGCTGTGCACAAAACTTTCTTAGAACAACTATCCTCACAAAGTAATAAATGTATCAATGATACAATATTAATGAAGGATTGACTGTTTTAAATTCAGAGAGTAGTAACTTAATGAGTATGACAAAATAAGTAGAAAATAATCAAGAAAAGACAATCTTTAACTTACCTTATTTAAAAATTTCTGCTTAATTGTACAAAACTAAAGTGTAACTCAAAGATTTATGTAGGTAAGATTCTTTCGAAAATAGTTAAAGAAGCGTAGAAATGCACCACAAAACATGATTTTAAATTAAGATATTATTGGCAATAATGAAAGGAGATGAACTGAAGATGGAATTGTAAAAAGGAAATTTCGATAGTGGAATAATTTATAGGTCTATTATGCATATAACATATACATATACTTAGGTGTAGAAGCTTTCTTGCTGAAACACATGGATTAGTATCGATTATTCGAGCAAGCCCCAGCAAACCCTTGTCAGATTCAATGTACTCGCAACGCAAATTCACTACCACTTGTTCCTTGTTAAGTTTCTCCTTGTAAAATAATATTGGAGTAAAAAGTAAATTGGTGTTCAACAATTGTTACATTGTAAATTTTCATAAAGTCTGCAATAAAGATGAATTGTGAAAAGCAGTCGATAATTTCGAAAATCGAAACACACTCAAATAAAATACGAGTCTTTGAAAAAGAAAAGGAAGAAGAAGTTAAATTGTTTTTCATGACAGAAATTTTATTGTCGTTCTGAAAGTGGAAGAATTTATGAAAATAAAAATTTTTCTCCCTCTGCCTTGCCATCTACAAGTGCAATAAAAATGTTGAACGTACACTATTTACTCGTTCATTGGATATCTGATACGCTCTCGTAAAAATCCCTGCTTTCGTAAATTTGATTAAAATCTACAATGTAGGTGAAGAAACCTATCTTCCAACAACTCCGAGTGGTATTATTGGAATCGATCGTGGCGATGAGTTTAAAAGAGGCGTCGACTCACGTGACTTGTGTTTCTTCCTCCCATAGTGAGTTTCCATAGCGACACATTTGCAAAGTGTCGACAAACATAGCATCAATGCACAAAAAATATTCTTTTCGCATGAATTTATTGTAGAGAAATTATTCATTGTCAGTAATCTCGTGAAAACAATTTTAATTCACATACAAAAATGATATGTGCATTATGATAAACAAAACATTCAACTTATTAATTCGCATTGTTGCTTTTTTCTCAACGTTTCTGTATTCATAAGCGGAGAAAATTCTAGGGGATGAGTCTAGGCTACTTCATGACACCCTGCAGCGTATTCAAGTGACTCATTTAATTAGAACCACCCCCAAGTGAATAAAAACCTTTTCAAGAGACGTGTGCGTATTTTTCCTCGGGAAGAAAGCTCCATTATTTTTGTAAAGCCCTGCTCACTTTTTTTGCTTTTGCAACCTATTTCTTCTTTCCTATTTGGTTTATAGTCAGAAAAAGAAATTTTATTTATTTTCCGAAAATGAAGAAATATTCACATTTTGGTTGGTTAAAAAAATCTAGTCTGCTTGTATATTGTTTCAATTTTGGTTGATGCACAGAATCAATATTTGAGGGGTATATGTTTTTATAAAAAGTGAACTTTTTCTATAGAATTCGCAAGTACAAAAGAGCTTTTATCAATAACGAAAATAGACAATGCCGCATAATTTCAACAGGGGGAAAATAAAGGCATTTCGATTTAAAAGTGAAATTCGGTTTGCTAGATGCACCTATACGCGTATATTCAGTTTGGTTATTAAAACTAAATAATTCGAGTTTACCTTTTTGAAACATCTCTCTTGCATTATTAATGGTCGAAATTAATCTTTTAAGTTTCTACAATCTTCATGAAATATTTATTAATGGAAATGCTTTCCATTAATTTCAACGTTTTTCACTCGAAATTTACAATTTCGGAAATATATTTACCATGCACATTTTTTAATGAAATTTCCCTTTTGTAGAGATTAGAGTTTCAAAGAGAGATTGAAAAAGTGGTCAGAAAATATTGAAATATTTAATTGGACAAATAGTGGATTTGAAGGATTTTAAGATGAAGCTTTGAGTCAAAGTTGAGGGTGTGAGTCGAAGGTCGACGGATGCATGGCTATACGAACTTGTGCGATCCGCATCTCGTTTACCGAGCAAACTGTTTTACTAATTGAACCAGGAGTGGCCAAAGGGGAACTCTTAATGCCTTAAGCACCGACAATATTTGCGACATCGAGTGGAATCGACGATAATTATACTCAACCAACGACTTTTGTCGCTCTGATGGTCTACTCATGCACGATTCATATGCATTATAAGTCCCCCGCGATCACAATCGAGCACGAACTTTTAGACGTGTGCGATTAAATTTTCCAAGCTTTATTATACTCGATCGACTTAATTATTTCATAACATTAACATTAAATCTTAAATTATTATTTCTCATCAAACTTTCAAACTACACTGCAAAAATAGGTGGCTTTTTTGATATCTTAAAATAAGATGTAACATGGATGTAACATGGAAAAATAGTATCTGTTTTCTAAAGCATCTTACTGATATTTAAGATGCTTTATACGTTTTAGTTTCTGTTTCTGTTACAATAATATGTTTAGCGATAAGTTACTTGAGAATCGTAAGATGCCCATAGTTAACCTCAAAACTTTTTGCCCTTAAATTAAGATACTTCTTTTTGCAGTGTAAACGCAGAATGTTCAGAATGTTTACTTTGATTTCAAGGGGAAATTTATAATTGGCGATTGTTTTGAGTCATCATTTTTAGAATCAGAATATTCTTTAGAGTCAGGGAAAAAGTAAAAATTTTGTCCGGAAATCACGGAAAACAAAAATTTTGTGTCAATCCTGTAAATACTAAATAAACATTTCTGAAAATTAATTGTTAGTGAAAAGCAGTTATTGAGGATCTAATACTTTTAGTTTTTGTCAGTATATCTATTTCACATATTTCGTCAACTTATTTCTTGGCAAAATTGATTTTTCATCAGTCTTTTTACTGCCAGTTTTACGAGGCAATGCGTTACTCCTCAAAAATATCGTAAATCATCAAAATGTTTTTACGATAACACCAATAAAATATCTAATCTATTATATACCCACAGAGCGTATTTATTATTTTTATGCATTTAAATAGAGGAAATTTTATTTTGCACTTTGAAAAATTGTCCAAATTATCAAGAGTAATAGTTTCTGAATAGAATTGTAGTATTTCTTATCATTATTATTAAAAGTACATATGTATGCATATATTTTTAACCGTGAAACATTTTTGTATCACATTTTATTCTTTTGTATTTATGGTCTCTAAAGAGAAATGATAGGGGTGCGTAAGTGGAGAAGAACTATCTTCCACGCATGCATTAGATTTAATAGGATAATGAAACGTGAATCACGAATGTACGATGGACGTTTATGTTTTTATTGCAGGCCGCTCAATTGAACGACTCTGCTCAGATCACGATGTACCAAGAAACATTCTGTGAGAAGCAAAACTAATTCAACGTGTTATGTGCCCACAAGAAATATGCTTGCAAGCACAATCTTAAATTAATTGTATTTTTAATTAATATTCACCTAATAATTGTAATGCTCTTTTTCCTCCAAGAAACGAATAGAGAAAATAATAATTAATTTCCTGTGACATATTTCACACATTTATGTCCTATAAATCCGAGAATGCTAAACTCATATTTGCTTTGTATATAAAGGACTCTGCCAGCAAAGTTAGAGATCACTTTCAGAGTGTTACTATTAAATGCTGCGAAACGAGGTAGTTTCTATGACGTCGAGTGAAACTATAAAAATGTTCGTCAAATCAATATAACTTTGACTTTGAGTAAATTGTTTAGAAAAGAAGTGACTCAAATTAAAAATTAATTTCACTTTTCTATAGTGATAGAGATCAAATTTCCATTGTATAATAGAGATATAATAAAAATTCATTTGTTGGTTTCTTTCAAGACAGAGGCAACTAGGATACATTTGCACTGGGAAAAAAGTCATATTATTGCAGAGAGTTGGTACCTTGGATGAAGCTTTAATTTTTAATTTAATTTTTGCAACTCTGACGGGGGCTTATAAGCGTCTCATTATTCATCTACTCGCTGCGAATGTAAATCCCAAAGAGCTTCCACTAGGTTTTGAAAACAGCAACCTCATGAAATTTCGGTCGTCGCGCAATCATTTGAAATTAATATTTCCTTAGAAATTTAACACGGAAAATTAAATAATTTATAGCTACTAATTTCTTACCAAATTTTCTCCGCATTAACGTGCGCGCAGTGGAATTATCACACTCTTGCGAATAATATTTACCACTCACCGTTCATTTATTCTCAATAAAGTTTTCCTTTTTATCTTCGCAGACTTTTTTCCCTTTCATTGGTATCAAATTTTGATGAGATGATGAATTTAAAACACTTTTTCAGTCCGCGTGAGTTAATTATTATTTTTATTTTATATACGTTAAAATTAACGTTTCTAATTATACATTTTTGCCTCGAGGTATACTTTATTTTTAATTTGAAACTTGGTATGAATGTAACACTGTCTTCCACTTTTATGGAGTAGAATTTAATTACAAAATAATGGAAAAGAATAGTTACTAAAAAGAATTATTTTGTTGCAGATCTTTTTAGAAATGCAGCAGAGGCTGGACCTCTTGACATTGTGAAACTTCGAAAAGGGGAAAAAATCTTAAACATTTCTCCACAACTGCCGGCGAACACATCAGAAGATCCCTACATCCTGCAGGTAACGATGCAGGATGTGTCTTCTTCCACTACTTTCAAGGTTTATTTTCAAGGTTTACCATGTATTTAAGAATGAAGCTTTTTATTTAACGTCCCTTAAAGTTACTTTCAGTGTATATTATTTAGTTCAAGTTTTAAAAAATACTTCTTCTGTTTCAATTATTGTCACATTTGTCTGGGTTTATTTTTATTCTTTTTTTTATTTTAATTTTTATTCTGGTGATCATGTCTCTCTATATCTTATATCTCTCATTTTCTCTAATTATAAATAAACCTTTGAATATAATCAATGTCTCGATTATACTAATTACAAATAAAACAATGATTTAATCATCATTTTATTCTCTATATAATATCTCATTTGCAACTGAACATTTATCGCTCGAAATTTTAATTGCGTCGAATTGAAGAAAATTGAAATAACTGTTTTAGTTTAAAGTTTAAAGATTTAGAAGAATTAAGGTGTTTAAAGGAAGATAATGAAAATTTGTAAATGCATGAACAAAAAGTTTTGAACGTTCAAATGAACCAAGTATTTTTTGTTAAAAATAGTTTCATAGATTATTGATTACAATTCAAATTAAAAACTCAAATTTTACATTTAGAAACATTATAATTAATTTGCTTAATAGTGACGCAAAATTATAGTAATAAAAATTTAATTTGAAGAAGAAATAAATAAATTTCGTTCATTTGAACGTTCAAAACTTTAACCTCCTGTAAATGCCAACAAATCAAAGTGTCAATCAAGACATGATAATGATACATATATTTACCTTTCGAGGTTGACGAGAGCAAACTTGAAGAAATAAATAATAATGTGGGAACAAATATTTGTATAAAATAAATTAGTATCAATATAATAAAGTCATTTGCTATTTGAAAAGATTAATAAAAAAGTACAATAAAGGATTATTATTTTAACTTGTACAATTTCTTGCACTGAATTCCATTTCCTTTCAATTGTTGTATTTGAAAAATTGGAAATTCTTTTTGTAAAGGTTGTGGGAGCTCATCCTAGTACTTCCGGAATGATTGACATAGATGTGTGCTCTTTGGAAAGGCGAGTGTCAGTCTTGGAGCAAGAACATCGAGAAGCGGCCTCGTCGAGAGCATGTATCACGCTTAGTGAACTTCAAGCACAAGTCAATGCCATAAAGCAAAAGTTGGAAACAATTGAGCATCTCAGTTGGTTAGGTAAGTTTACCAAGGCTTTCACAAAATTTATTACTTTAGAAAACAAAGGTGTTTTTTCGTACAATTGTACTACTTTCCATTTCAAATTTAATTATACTTTTTTTGCTTTTTTTCTATTTATATATGGAATGAATTTTCAAAATTTCCGGAAAATGTGCATATGGAAAATTTGTGAATTTAAATTTGAAAGGTATTTAATCCTATTATCCGAGCTGTATACATAAACCAATTTATATAATAACGAATGGATTAAATTAAACACGCTTCTTCAGTGTAATGAAAAAAAAACTTTAATTTCTTCTCAAAACTGAATGATTTTTCTGTCAACCCTGATAAATATGATCACATGAGAATGACGTATATATGAACGAATAAATATCAGCTCCTTGGCAGAATGCGCACGCTGCTGAATAAATATTTGTCCTTGCAAACGCAGTTTTGCTCTATTCCTATCTTTGGAGCTTTCGTCTAAATTCTCAATATTTTAAAAGCTAAAGGAAGGCATCCTCGAACTTGACGCCGGAATTTTCCATCTCTTTTCAGATTAACAGTCTAATTTCAAACTCAGACCTTCGGAGATTCTTCATTTTTTTCGGAGCATTCACAAAAATTTACAAAATTATATTTTTCTTACTTTATACATATCAAAACCACTTCTTTATTTTCAATAAAAAGAGCTTTCAATTACATTTATATATGAAATAATATTCAAAAATAATTATTTCCTTAGAAAGATTCTTTCTTTTTCACATATAAAAGTAATCATATAAGAGTAACTTGATTTTAATTAACTTTTCAATAAAAAGTAAATTGGCCTTCTGATGTCATTTAGAATCATAAAAGGTTTAATTAAGAACTACTTTTAATTTTCATATAATCACTTTTATTCCCTTTTTAATTACTTTCACAAGAAAGTTTTGTCTTATTGCAATTTCAAATTTATTTTAATTTTAATTGTACCTCACAAAAATAATAAAATACAATTATCTTCACTTCGCATAAACTATTTATTCCGTAAATATTAAAAATAAACGAATGGAATTTGCATTTGCAATTCAAAGGATGCGTAAATTTTTGCAATACTTTATATTTCACCAATATGGTATATACTTGTTTGCATTGAATTATAGTCAATGTGTTTTGCCTGTGAAAATTAATTACATCTTTGGAATGAAGGAATGCTTTCATGGCTTTATAATAAAGTGTGAAAATTTCTTATCAAGTTAATTATTTAACGTTCATTAGGAAATTTCTTTACAGAATTTTATTTACAAATCTTATTTTTCTTTTGTTGGAAAATTAATTAACGCGAGAATATTATTAACTTATTATTATTATATAATAAATTAAATTATAAAACAAAGCTTTTCGATTTTTGCGTTTAAGTAAAATAGTCCTTTATAGTAAAAATTAATTTCATAAGATTGCGTTGATTGAAAGCTTTTTAAACTCGAATAATTAAATTTGAAAGCGTTAAAGCTTCATTGCGGAACTTTTGTTCTAGCTTTTAATTAGGTGATTCAGTAATATCGACTTTTTCATTGACGATGAATTTAATTGTCTTCTCTTTTAAAAGAAATATTGAAATTTTCGTGTAGTTCTTCTTAAATCAAAATCCCTTTTTACTGCACTTTTCTTACATTATCAAACGATTTTTCAATCTCCTTTTTGTTCGCAGGCTTCCACAAGCAACTTCCGGAACCCATTTCATCGGAAGCATGTCGCAGATTGCAATACCGACGTAAAAGTGATAGCGTGAAACGTAAAGTACGAGAAAAATTCTTCAACATGTGGTGAGTGGTACTCTCTAAATTTCAATTAGTAAAACTTGACTAATTGTCACTAGTTGCTGTAGTTGCTGTAGTGAAAATTGATTTTCACTATTTAAATAAATAAATAGTTCTTTTTTTAATAAGAGTCTTTTGTATGGTTAAAGAGTGTCTTTATTGAACTCAAAAAGGTCTAGATCAATATAATCCACACGGATCGTAAAAAAATTCTTGAAAGCTTAATTTTCAGGCGTGTGTTATTACAATAGTGTTAGGAACTCTTAAACTGATTTTATCTTCTTATAAGTAGAAAACGGTTGTTTAATATTTCAAGCAAGATTCAAACTTTTCTCTTTTTTGCAATGAAACATGTTATTAGTTGCAAAAAAGGAAATTTAACAAGCAAATGTTGCAATTTTTTAATTCTGGTACAAACTATATAATAAGTATTGATTTTTCCAAGTAACTATCTATTCAAATATTCATATAGAAAAGATGCTTTTGATTCTATAAAAATGACATGCATTTTTTGTAGGTAACAGGAGATTATAAAAATTCTACATATATATACTGTCATCTTTTGTTGAAATTATTAAAACTCAAAATGTTTTGTATGCTTTGAGCGGATATAGAGAGGAAGCTTTTGATCTTAATATCAAAAACTGCGCCATATATTTTTTGTTGGGAACAGCGGCAGGAGTATAAAAAGTGTCATTTTCAATTTCCGTCAAATCCGAAGAGCATTTCCAAATCGTAATATTTCTCGCCTCATATCTCTAAATAATAACGAAATAATGGGAAAAAAATGCATTTTTTTTCTATGTTGACTTGTGTGTTTCTGCAGTCATAAAAAGAGTGCTTTTGTGAAAAGATATTTTTTTCTCTTTTAGTAAATGAAGAAAGAATGATTTATAAAGCTTACAGAGAGAAGCCGATTAAATTATTGTTGTCACGCCGCAAAATTGCCTTGCAGTTTCGTCGTTTAATATTGAAGATGAGCTTACCTTCTTCAAGCCACGAATCTCTCTCCAAAGCACGTTAGGTCACCATTTAAGTCAAGCCTGTTTAAATATTGACACCTCTATAAATCCTTTAGTAAATATAAAAGCAAAATTATCTCATTTATTTTTAAAATTATTTTTAATATACTCATGCATTTTATTACATGCCTTTCTATCTAGAATTATAAAATTAAATTATTATATTTACATATTTTGAAAATAAAAACAAAATTAAAATGTGTACAAACAAAAAATATAGAATAGAAACTATTGTCTTGAAATAATGCCATAATCTTAAGTTAATAATAATTATTTTACATAATGGATTTGATGCGCCTTTGGTTATTATGCGGGAATAATTTATTAACTGGAGTTAGGGTGAATAACTAGGTTTCATGATAATCACATTTATTAAGAGCTTGTCTCTCTGTTTCCTGTTTGATATTATTATCATCTGGTAATTTCACGAATAAATTCAAAGAGATCCACTTGTCTTGATAAAATCTTTAAACAGTTTAAACTAAAATTTCAAGGTAGAATTAATTTTTGTCATCACTGGCAAATTTCATCTCGCACCTAATGGAAAATTTATTTATCGTGCTAAATAATATCAGAATGTCTCAATATCGAATCGATTAAGAAAGAAGTACTTTTCCTTATTTCTGAAAAAATTTAATAATGTTCAGTAAAAAAAGATGTCTGGAATTCATTCTTCATATTAAATATTTGAAAAAGTCTCCGTTGCGTGTCACTGTATTGACCACGGGCTAAAGGGTGAATTATTATTCGAGCTTTGTCTTCTGCTCTCTAGGGAGAATAATAGAATGGAAGTAGCTTTCGAGTCTAATATGTAATTACAGTTCATCTAATTAACTTAGAAAAAGTCTATTTAAAAGTTAAACATTTTCATAAAATTAATAACCAATTTTCTCCTAAATGTGGACTGCTAAGAATACAACTTTTTCTCATGATTTACAATGTTTGCATTTTTATTTCAGAAGATTAAGCAGGTACATTTTAGTATGAATAAATATTTTTGTTTGAGAAGATGGAAGAGGAAAACTAGATCAGTACACGAAAAGCATAATGCTATCTTACTTTATATAGTTTATATAGAGCCAGTATTCGAAGCTGTGTCATGAATTATTAAAGAGACGGAAACGTCCGTCCATCTGGACGAATTTATAAAGTATTTGTCATTTTTATTTTTCTTCTGGATTTCTCGAAGCGTCTTCCATATAGAAAAAAGGACGAATTAAAAATCCTTTGATGTTTGAATTATACGGAACTTTTGGCACCATACATTCAAATTTGTCTCTCGATAATTTGGATCTATGCCAAGTTCTATAATATGTACCTGCGAACGGTAAAAACATTACAAAAAATAAACATTTTCGAGTAAAATTAGATTTTTGACATTTGACAGTTTTTAAAATTAGATTATTTTTGATTAGTGTAATTGACATGACAGGGCAAACAAGATCCACATTATATTTTATCAGAGAACTTTAATTCCGCAATAGCTGATAGAATCTCAAACCATGTAAAGTGAAATAATCCATTAAAGGAGAATATTTTTTGCTATAGCAAAATTTTAATGAGGTTTATCTTTCACGTGGTATATACCATTAATGTTATGAAAGTTTAAATAGTTGATTTGATAAATTTTGCATTCAACGTACAAATCGCTAAGTTAAATTGATATGTCCCAATTTGATTTCGATAACGAGTTTTAGAAAGTAAGTTTCAAATTCTATATTGATACAGAATTTAATATTCTTTAATAAAAGTTTGTGAATTTCTTTTTATATTGAAAATTCTGATTGTGAAATTTTTTCCTCCATAGAGTATTTGAAAATGATGGTTTATAAATTTCATTAGTAGGTATATGCGTCATGTGTGTAAAAGTTTCAAGTATTTTCTTAAAAGCAGTCATAAAGAATCCAACAATTTCTATCATTATATTGACAAGTTTGAACATATATTGATTATACTCCAATGAATGAAGTGCCCCTTCGATATTCGAAGTTCCTTTGCATGCCAACTCATTAGCATTTCAACAGAGTTGAGTAATTAACACATACTGACAAACTGACGTTCGATTAATCTGAGGAAACCTCCTCGATAATACAGCATCATAAAGGAGAAAATTGACATGTTACAAACGTTTGCAAGTGTCTATTGAAAAAAACTACACTTAACATTTTAATAACTAATTTATACTTTTAAACCATTGCACCTCTTTTACATTAAAAAGAAAAAGTCTTTTGAACATTGCCAAAATTTTGACCTAGTTAAATTTGAAAAAAATCAGGAAAATTGTTGGTTCGTTTGAGCGGCGACAGCGAAATTATTTAAATATGCGTGCGCGAAGAAATATTTTTACAGAAAGTAAAGGTGGCAGTGCGTCATCATTGCTTGAAGGATTAAATGTAAATGGAGCCATTAAATATGTCACTAATCTTCAAGTTCCGCTTTGCTTCTTACTTTTATTTTTCATCCCGACCCTCATCAAATATGTTTCTATGCAAAATCCCAGCTTAGAATAAGAGCATCAAGGGAAATTTTGCATTCAAGCAATTTACCAGTAAAAGCTTTCTTTCCCTCTCCGGCGCAATAGCCATGAAACCTCATCAAGGAAAGCTATCTCTTCTCTGTTATCATTTTCAAGCTCTTATATAAAAAATTCCATATAGGTATCAGTAATCTTTAATTTAATTAAAATATCACATAATTGTCTTATATTATAAATAATATTTTTGTGCACTTTGCTCTATGGATAAACAAAGGGATTCCCATTTTTCCCGTCAGTAGTATTTCAGAAGCTTTTAAAACAAAAAACTATATTAAAAGGCTTATTAATAAAATAGGTTGGCTATAAAAGCTGCTTTAATTATGAAATGTTGTTTTAAAAGCAAAATCCAGCTTCGCGATGTTTATTCGACAACCAATATTTTATAAATGTTTTGCAAATGCGTATAAATAAGAGAAATATTTAAATATGCAAAGAAATAAAGAATTAAATGACTCGCAATTGTAGAATTTTTTTCAAAGAATAATTTACAGTCTTGAAATGTTAGGGTTTGATTGAAATTACAATACTCAAAGAAGAAAGAGACTCGACAGAATTATGCAAATTTTTATGAAAAGGGTAAAGATGCTTTATGGAAATGTAGATGAGGGTGAAAATCGAAATTGCCTGGAAAATATAACTCATCGTATAATTTGAATAAGCTCTCGTAAGCTCTTTTCTGGTATGATTTCCATTATAAATGTCTTATTTTTATAAATTCATTTTTCAACACCGCAGATCAGGAAATATGTCTTTATTTTTTTCCGCGTGAGAATGAACATTATTTAACAAGTTCTAATATAAAATGTGAAAAACATTTATTTTTTACAGTGACAATATTTTTCTCGTGTTTCTTTTTCACACAAGGGCTTTCTCATGCATGCATTTCAATTTCTTTTCATTCAGAAAACTATATATGATGAATTTCTCAAGAGATGTTAAAGTATAGAAGATTTCCATACACATGTATTCTAATATTTTCCATAAGTACCACTTAAATGTACCCATCTTTGTGAGGAAAGTGTGGCAAGATGGAAAGTATAGCGCGTGTTTTTATTCTATATGGCAAAGAAATGGAAAACTGACTATCATTTTTTGATTCATCGTCGAGGAAACTCGTGTGGCTCGTGTGCTTGAATAAACGAGGAATAATAGCCTATTAAGAAGAATGTGTTTTACTGAAAATTTATCAGTGGACAGTATTTTACGATCACAGGTAAAGGCGATTAAAAAAGGAAAAGAAAATAATTTAATTCATTGACAACAATTTACCAGGGTGTTTTAAAAAAGCTAGTTATGCATTTGTAGGACCAAAGTGATAAATAATTTCTAGGATATTCATTCACACTGAGCGCAGTACTAATTATCGGTTGTTTTAGGGATACTTCAGAAATATGGTAGGTTCAACTCTTCACCGCTAATTGGCAATTCCTATTTGGTGCATTCATTAAATTGTGGTCTATTGAAATATTTACCTTGTCAAGCTTATGCAGTTATATTCATGTGTGACATAGAGAAATAGAGTTTACATGACAGAGGCTTAACAGCATTTGGAGGCACAGCAGATGTTTTTGTTTTATTATTAATAAGATAATGCCTATAGCAGTCATTTCGTTTCGCTAAAGAATTGTTTTATTTTAAACTGTTGTTTAAAAGATGTTTAACATAGTTTCTTGATGAACAATTTTATTTTTCGCTTGAAAAGTATTTTTTCCTTCAATTATTGATCACAAATATTGTGAACTTTACTGACGTTAAATAGTTTATTGAATATTGTTTGTATAGGCTTTGTACATACATTTAATTTAAAAAAATGATTAAACTTTAAAAACTTGAAAAAAATGAATTCAGGCATTAATAGAGTTTATAAATGAAAGACTTTTTTGACGAATTTTATTCTCTTTGCAAATAGACTGAGACTTTAAATTTTAAGTACCTGTCCAGAAGATTAAGGACCTTAGATTGAGTTCACTCAAGCCAACTGTTCAAATGAAATTTTCAAATGAAGCTCGTTTTACTTTTTTTGCTTTTTACTTTCATCTCGTTTGAGATTTATAGAAAGACCTACCTTCACTTCCAAGTTTAAAGAAAATTCACGTGATGTATTTTGCAAATTTCAATAGACTTGATTTTCCAAGAAAATTCCATGTCAAATTGAAATTACTTATCCGTTTTTTTATATATGAGGTTGGTACGTACGTGTAAATTGTATACAACGAGAATTGAAAAATATGCAGCGACTATTTATTATTTTATTGAAAAAAATGTTATTAAAAAAGTAATTAATATTTTGCAAAGAATTTTTTTCCATGAAATTGTGGATGAAAAATGGAAAATTGAAATTTTCAATATTGATTTTCAGTGACGTAGCACTTTCATCAAATGTTCGAGAATGGTTGAGATCACCATCGTTTGACGCCCAACAATGGGAGGATGAAGAATTACTTTTGATGTTGCAAACAATGTTCGTGGAACTGGAAATACTTGAAAAATTCAGTATCTCGTTGACCACTTTGAGAAATTTTCTCTATGAGGTATACAATAATTATAATGAGGTACCTTTCCACAACTTCAGGCATTGTTTTTGCGTTGCACAGATGGTAAGTTCAACTTTTAAATTAGTCTTATGATTATGTCTTTTAACCACAGTTCTTTTAAACTTTTACCATTTCAAATGAACAGCCGCTCGCTTTTAGAGTTCATTTTACAGTTACAATTAAGCTTTACGGTCTCTAAAATTTTTTACGCACTCGAAGCGCTGAAAGCATAAAAAATTTCCTCAAGTCACATAATTCATTTTCAATAGAATCTCGTGAAATCTCTCTCGGCAGTTTGGATAAAGAAGTTAATTGACAAAACGTTTCAGATGTACGCAATCGCGTGGGCGGTGGACTTGCCATCGAAGATCGGTCACCTCGAGGTTTTGGTTCTGATCGTATCGAGCATTTGTCACGACCTCGACCATCCCGGCTACAATAATATCTACCAGATAAATGCTCGCACCGAGTTGGCATTGCGTTACAACGACATCTCGCCCCTAGAGAATCACCATTGCTCGGTGGCCTTTCGCGTCCTCGAAGCTATGGAATGCAACATCCTGGCGTCCTTGGACCCAACGACCTACAGAACCGTAAGGGAAGGTATCATAAGGTGCATCCTCGCGACTGACATGGCCAGGCACAACGAGATCCTCGGGCAATTTACCGATGTCATACTGGAATTCGATTACACGAACAAAGCGCACATCAATTTGGTAACTATCTCCATCTACTTTTCAGGGAAAATACAAAATACCCATCGTCACACACACACACTTTTTCTTTATCAGAACTAAATAAAAACTCAATTCATTCAGCATTAAAAAATTAAATTAAATTAAATTAAATTAAATATTAGCAACGAAAGAAAACCAATTGCGGAGAAAGAAAATAAAAATATTCTACACAATTTACCGTAGGAAAGAAGTAAGTGTATCAGGGGTGATTGATCAGTTTCTCGTTCAAGTTCAATAGAAATAAAAGATTAATGCACACGAGTTAAGTTTCTTCGTTCGTATCAAGAGCGTGGCGCCTGGCGCTGTACATTCTTACTAAAAAGTTATTCACTCTACGGGGATAAATTCGCTTAAATAACATTCTCTTGAACCACTTTTTTTTTATTTATTGTAAAATCCACAAAGATTTTCATGACATTAATGAAATGCTAACAAATCTCAAACATTTCTTTAGCTCTCAATGGTTCTAATAAAAGTTGCGGACATTAGCAACGAGGCGCGACCAATGGAGGTGGCTGAGCCCTGGCTCGACAGTTTACTCCAGGAATTCTTCAAACAAAGTGATGCAGAAAAACTGGAAGGACTTCCGGTGACACCATTTATGGACCGTGATAAAGTAACGAAGCCTTCGTCGCAATGCAGTTTTATCGGATTGGTTCTTCTTCCACTTTTTGAAGCGCTTGGGGAACTTTTTCCGGAACTTCAGGTGAGTCGATCTTGAATATAATTTTCTATTCAAAACTTGATGTTCTTTGTGGAAAAATTTAAAAATCAAAATGAAGACTGGAAATTTCATTTCCTTGCCTCAGTATTCAATATAAAAGTTTACAGCTTTCGCACAATCAAGAAACATTTGCATTTGAGAGATAACATTTTATGTAGGCAGTAGGCGCATTGAAACGCAACTTTGTAGGTGCATCTACTTCAGTTTAATCTTTGACAGATGCAGTCTGAGAGTGATTTTAAATTATCCGCAGATAAATTCGTTTTAAAAACTAATCAAGTTGAATGAAATTGATTTATATTTTTCTAAAGTGAAACTGTCTTTTCAGGATCTCATACTATCTCCGGTACGATACGCCCTCGAGTATTACCGTCGTCTTAATGAAGCAGCGAAAGACGAGCGGCATCATCGCAAAAGCGTCGTTGATCTCGGAGAACACGTACCGTCGGCTACTTCCGGCGGAAATTCTAGTTGCTCCTCGGTTGTGAAATCAACGTCTTCTCACAGTGTTCGTTCAAAACGGTCAGGCGGCATAATTCACTCTCGCTCGAGATCAACCGACGAGGACGGAATGGAAAATCTTACAATCGAAGAGGCAGATAATCTCGAAAGTTCAGATCCGGAAACCGCGACGGAAGTTGAGGTCAGTGAGAAGACTTTAAAATTCAAAATATCAACCGAGGGCTCGATGTCGGCTTCCTCGGTTGGGAGGAAAAGTTGTCCGGGAAGTCGAAAGGGAAGTAGGGAGAAGTCTTCCCTGGATTACCATAATCACGAGTTTGCCAAAGCAATGAGGGAGCACGATCGACGGAGAAGTAAAGGAGACAATTTGAGCAGCGATTTGAGCTCGCCAATCAGCGTCAAGTCGGGCGACGACTTGCGAATCCTCGAGGAGTTCGAGAGAGACGAGACGATGCTGATTGAATCGATGAGTCCCAAGAGGGGGTCCGAGGGGAATGGAAGCGTCGCTGCGGAGTCCGTCCCGCAGAAGAATAATGTAAATAAGCGATCGATCAGCATGGGAGGCGACTCTGACATGGGAACAAATCACAAGGAAGTGATGAAGGAGGTTCGCTGCTGCCGCTGCGAGGACAAGTCGAGCTCGAATAACCAAAAGTCGTTGATGGCAAAATTGAGGAATCTCACTGATCGTTTGAGCATCAGTTTCGACACGAAGGAGCCTCCCATCTCCAAGCCGGCCAAGCACGCCACCAAGAGTTTGAACAAGAGCAATTCGCTGAGCAGTGGCTCGTCCTCGACAATGAGATGCAACAATAGCAATGTAGTTTGTAAGAAGTGCAATCTGACCAAAGCCATCAAGGAAGGCAGGGAGACGATAGTGGACCTCTCGACTGGTGATAAGAAATCAATGACCTTCCCGAAAGCGAGAAAATTTCAAGACTGCAGGAGCAAGAGCTGGAAGACTGTCTTTGCCAAGGAGAAGAGACCTTCTATATCCTTAGAAATTTTACCGGCAAGTAATATAGAGTCAGTTGCACCAAAACACAGAAGGAACCTCTCCAACCCCGAAGGTAAAAGCGCTCCAACGAAAAGCCAAAGTTCCAATAAAGAAAAAGAGCGCAATAGGAATTTTCGAGAGTTCAAGGAGATCGACGTCAGACCGAAGAAGCCCGAAATCCTTGTAGATCCAGTCAATCCTGGCAGTTCCAGTGCCGTTGATCAAGATTTAGGTAAAGTTGAAATTAGACGGAGTTCCGCGAGTATGGAGGACATATCAAAAATTACGAAACAGAGTGAAGCTGGAATTTTGAATTTATTGGAGAAAAAGAACATAGAGGACAAGCAGCACACGGGCAGTCTTGACTCCATGTTCTGCAAGGACTCAATCACAGCTTCCGTCAAGAAGCCCACCGCTTTCTCTTCTCCAGCGTCAGCAAAGAAATCATCTCCAGGATTGTTTTCCCGCTTCAAATCCGGAATGAGTATCGACGGCACAAGAAGCAGCAGCAACAGTGGCTCGCTTCACGATCAGCCGTCGCAACAAAGCGGATGGATCTCTTCATTAACTGCCAGCTTTCGCCCCAAAAGGCATATCAATGAACCAACCACGTCTTCTCATCCTGCCCTTTCTCCTAGCAATGAATAAGTTTCAAGTCTTCGACTACGTCTCCTTCCTTTCCAAGTGTTATTTTTATTCAAACAATGTCTTCCAAAATCGTCTTCTCTATTTTATGCTTTTGATATCAAAAATATTTTAGACTTGATATATTTCTTAAAAGCTGTATTAAAAAACAATATCATTCGGCTTTATAAACCACATTTTTAATTCAAGAATTTCCCGAATATAAGTATTCGCCAAATGGGGAAATTCAATATCTTAGAAACTCTCGTACACACTATTGTAAAATCTCTTATTGCAAATTCTCATCGACATATTCTTTTCTTCATATTATATATCAAATTAGCTATAGAATACTATCCTGTGATATTCCAGGACCTAAATGAAAATACTTTTAAAACACTTTAAAACTGTTTTCGAGTTTCATTTTATTATGGAGAAAAATGAAATTATAAAAAGTAAAAACGATATAATCAAAGGAGACTTTCCATCCGATTAAGTTCCAAGAACTTGCGGTGGATTATCAATGCATTTCGCTTAGAAGGAGGAACAAAAGAAATGAATTTATTAGGTATGTACTTCTGTGACTATAGACTCGAATAGCTAGAATTGATTAAGTTTGTAGAATATTTTATTTATTGTAAAAAAATCTAGTTTGTAGCTTGAACGAATAATAATTATTAATGTTGTACGTTCTATGAGTATGTATGTATATGGATATGTGTGCAATATATTCATGTACATATGTAAGCGTAAACAGCGTAAACACACCTCCAAATCGTTTATTAGAACTTAGGTATAGTTAGGAAAAGCTTATTTGTAGTAGAGCTGCCCAAAAATCCCAAAAATGTAATGATTTTCAATGTTGAGTGCAAAAAGCATTCTATGTCGAGACGGCCATTTGTAATTTAGCTTCTTGAAACTATTAACTAAAAGAAATCATTTTTCTATTACACTATATTAAAGTTTCTACTGGATCTTGAGAATTATTTTCGACTTCTGTTCTTGAAACAATCGCTCTTTTTGAAATAATGTTTCTTTTCATTACTTGTGATAAATGAACTAAATACCACATCAAATTAATTACATCTGCTTTTAAACACAGAGAAAAATATACAGTAACTTTTATTATTTACAAAGTAAAACTCAAACTGACTCTAAAATTTGCGCATTTCTTGCAACTTTTACTATTTTCGGAGAAAATGTTGACCGAAGTAAATTTTACTAATTGAATACAAAAATCTACTTCGAACGTAGCAAAATTTACTCTAAAAATAGTAAAAGTTGACAAAAATGCGCAAAAATTTTTGCTACTTTAATAAAAAAATTTCTTCAATGATCGTTAATTTAAAAATCAACTATTTTAAGGGTTGAACATGTTTTCGACGTAATGGTCAGCTTGATATGGGATGCGACGCGTTTTTTTTTTTTATAGAATTCTATATTAATGAGGGCTGTTAGGATGACTGGTGCCGAAAAAAATAGAAAAAGAGAGAGATATATTGCGGATAAAAGATATGAGTTTAATTGTGACGAACGATTATGCAGCTAGAGAAATGTTATGAATTCTGTGAGAGCAATCAATATAATCAAATAAGTTTGGGACCACATGAAATTAGTCATTTATTGTTATTGTACTTATGGTTTATTTTTCTTTTTTGTTTTCCGATCAGAAGATTCCAGATCGATCGTTCGTACCAATTTGCTTCCATATTGAAATTATGTTCTATATGCAATATTATGCTTTTTTACCTACTCTAGTCTTACGTTATTACTGTCGTCCCAATTTGCTTTGGGCATTTTGTTTTGTTCTTGTGCGATTTGTTTACTTTATTTTTCACTTTATTTTTCCAATTGATAAATTAAGTGAAAACTGATGTGATTGAAAAATTTTTGAAAACTCGTTTTCAATAAATCCGATGAATTATTGTCGTGACAATCGGCATCGACTATAGCTTAGAATTTGAAAATTAACAATAAACTCTCGACCATCTATCTATAAACGTTATACAAACTATATTTGTGCCTGATTTTTTATTTATATTTATTTAACTGTTTTTAAAAGATTTTCTGGGAGCAAAATTTGGCCTGAATGTCATGTTTCTAGTTAAATTGGTGGGCCAAATTGAAACTGCTTTGATGTCATAAAATGAATTATTCGTTGATTATTGTTAAATGTCGGTCAATTAAAACATAGTAGTTAAATCGTTGTCAACTATTATCTGTACAGTAACTGAATATAATACGTAGTACAGAGTATCTTGATTTTCATCTTCGTTTCCATTTTTGAACTCGCGCCTCTCGTACGTTTAGGATAAGAATATTGACTCGAACTCTTAAATGAAGAATCGTAATTATGTGCATAATATACAAAACTGGTTTTACCTGATGTATATGAAAGAAGTAAAAAAATTCTACGCTCGCTGGCGAGTGTTATCGTTATTATACATATGTTGTAACATAATTGTTCAGTGTTGCCAATAGTTTCTTTATTTAAAAAATTTCAGTTTATAACCTTCCGTAAATTTAATTTACCTTCAACTTTGTTACATTGCAATTTAATAAAATATGTACAATTAAACTCCAATATATTATTTACCTGCGATCACAAGAGCATTTTAAATTCATTTGTTTATTTCTGAAAAGAATTTATCTCTCAGATAAAAGTCAAGTACTCAACAGCAGTCTTATTATTATTATTATTATTATTATTAAAACAAAGAATCTAATTTATTGATATATTTTTGTATTACACAACTTTGTAATAGAAATTAAAAAGCGAATTGATGAATTTATTTATTGCAAGCTTTTTTTTATCGAATTTAGTGATTAAGTTTTAATGTTTATTTCGAGGAGGTTTTAAATAAATCAAAATATTTTGTCAGCACTGAACGGAAAATTTTCAAAAGATACCTACCGTTGATTTGATTCTAAGGTGTCGTAATATAATAATATATTATAGAAAACTAGGTTTAAGATTCTAAATTTAAACAATAGATTCAACCGTATGAAAACAGCCACGATCAAGTAGTCTTTTGTAAATGAAATAATAAACGTATACGTCAACATTTGTTGTATTCAATACCCGATACTTATTAAGTATGTATATCCATAGATTATATAGATGTAAGTATTCTACATAACATTGTTTAACCGGCTACTGTGGTAATTTTTTTCAAATCAAGATGAAGTCCACCAACTGCTGACGTCAAGAATGCTTTTGGGTCAATTTGTATTGGAACGGGAGTCTTTTTATTAATTGAAAGTTCATACTTTGAAATAATATGAATAATTCCTAATTTAGATTGCAATAGACCAAGACGTTGACCTAAAAGAATGTTCAATTTTTAATGTTTTAGATAATTTGAATTGAATGATAATTCTCATCATAATTTGAAAATTTACCAATGCATATGTGAGGTCCTTCTCCAAATGGAATATAGACGCAAGGCATTAGAGATTTTCTATTTTGTTCAGAAAATCTTTCAGGATCATAGATTTGTGGATGGGGAAAATATTGTGGATCCTGATGAAGGCCGACCATTGGCACTATAACTGGAGTTCCTTTCTCAATAACCAAATTTGTTTCAGGAATTTTATAATCTTGTATTGCAACTCTATCAAGAAATGGTAGGATTGGATAAAGTCTCAGTGTCTCCGATATCACCATATCCAAATATGGTAGGGTCATTACCTTTTCATGGAAATATTAACATTACTTAGATTATTTTAACCTTTTTTTAAAAATTGAATAAACAACTTAATACCATATCGTATGTTATTTTTCCTCCACTGGCTTTTAAAGCTTCTTCAATCTCTAACCTTAATTTATTCTGTACTTTAGTATTCACAGCCAATTCGTACAATGTAAAGGACATTGTTGTTGAGGACGTTTCAAATCCGCCGGTGAAAAAAATTGCAGCTTGTGATACTAAATTATCACCATCAAATTCTGCAGTTAACATTATAATAATTGATAATGAAAAATAATATAATAATATAATCGCAGACTAAAAATGTTAAACTTACTAAATCCGTTATATTGTTCAGGATCTTTCTCACAGTTTTGTCTTAACTCAATTAGAAGATCAATGAGATCATTTCTCTTTGTTCCAGATTTTATTCTCTCGTTTATTGTATCCCAAAAAGCATTCCTTAAGAAAACAGTACTTTCTTTTGAAAAAAGTTGAAAACCTAAGGTAGAGACTAATTCAGGCATAAAAAATATTGTTGTAAATTCAATGTTACGTCGAATATTGTATGTAAAAATGTGTCTTCCACATTTTCTGAATTCTGCATCCGGATTGTTTAGAGAATTTACTTTTAATCCATAAGCCGTTGTACCAATCATATCTGTGGTAAACTTGGCGCACACTTCTTTCATTTCCAATGTACCAACAGTTCCTACATTATATAATAATTACTAATTAAATACTTTTACCATTATACTAAATTTACTAATTATATTTAATAATTTCTTTATATGATTTCATTCTTCACTAATAAAATTCATTATCTCACCTTCTGGTACCTCTGATGCTAAATGCATATCAAGATCTTTTCCAACTTCTTCCATTAACAAAAACATTTTCTTTAGTCTGCCCGATGTAAAAATTGGTGTTAACTTTGCTCGAACCGTTTTCCAATCCGGATTCTTTATCATAAAAAGATTGGAATTTCCAATTTTGTCACTTTCACTAGCTCGAGAGAATCTATCATTAAAATAATTAAAGTCCTTTATCAAAACCCGTTTGATAATTTCTGGATCTCGAAGAAGTAAAGTGGGCTTATCAAAAATATACATTCCAACATATGGAAGGCCTTTGCCCTCATCATAAATTTGTTTAAATAATAATCCGGGTGATATTTTCATCAACAAACAATCGCCGAAATTGCCCGCAAACGGTGTGGGCTTTAATTCCACAATGCCTTTTTTCTTCCAATGTTTAAATTTTCTAGTCATGTACATATAAATCGCCACTATTGTCGTAATAATTGTTACTATCAGAAGAATCAAAATGTTTGTCAAAACTGCCATTTTTTTTCACCACAGATTCTAATTATTATAAAATAAATGTTCTTTTTATTTTTGTCTCTCTCTTTTAAAATTTTTAAGATTATTTATATTTAAGTTTATTCTTTTATAAAAATAAATTATAAAGAAATGTAAAGTTTCTTTGCGAAATGCTGAAGTAAAACTGACTAAAAGAAATACACTTACTTAAGTATTTATTGAATAAGAAAAACGTTATTAATGATAAATAATGTTTAAAAAAATTATATGTAACCTACATGACAGACAAAAAATTTTTTTATTAGTAACAATTTAGCATTCGCTTTTTTATAAAATTCATTTTTTAATGATAAAATTAGTATGTGCGAAAAGATGACGTGATTTAACGTCATTTGAAATTGCTATTCGTGATATATTTTAAGGCAGGATAGGATATCTCTTCAGAGAATCCACAGTATATGTATTTATAATAAAAAAAGCTACAACATAGTTGAGAGCTGTTAGTTTTCAGAGTAGTAATTATTATTGTTTACGATATGCTTCTTAGAAAGAAATTTAAAAGAATTAAACAGGTACTTAAAATCTCATTTATAATAATTATAAAAACTAATGTAAAAATAAGTCTAGTCGTGTAAAGAAATAGCCCGAGTGAACCGCAGCAAACTTCACTTTGCCGATAGTTAACCCTTTAGAAATGTCAAAGCAAATAAATAATAAATGAAAAATTTCGTTTAACTTCTGCAATGTCACGTTGTTATAATAACCGACATTAATATCCGACAAGGTATGTTATTACTTTATTTACGACTAAACATGTACATATATCCTCTATAGGTACATACTTTAAAAATCAGTTTTATTGTTAAGTAATTGATTAATTGATCTGTTAAATTATTAAAATTACCTATATATTAAAATGTATATTTTTTCCTAAAAAGTATTTATGGATTTTGAACATTTATAGAACTCTACGCAGGTGTAAGAGAGTGTCATTTTCTCATAGGAGCCACCTATAAGTTTTATTAAAGATTTTTGAAGGATCCTACATTATTGTTCTTTCGAATATAAAAAATTTCTAAATTATATAAAGCTGATAAGATGAATTCTTCCATGATTTAAAATTCAAGTTTAGTTACTGAAGGTAACCTGTACCGAACGAAGTGGATAAGACGTTTCACCGCAAGCCTCTAGGTGGCGCAAACAATATATTCCGAATCGATTTTCGAGTTTAAAGAACCTTTCAAACAGTTTCAGTGTTCTTTTATTCCAATATTGTTTCTAAACATTAATTAATGAATTAAATATTTAATATATTAAATTTTCTAAAAACTATATAATACTAGCTACTTATTCATTAAATACCTTTTTTATTAAATATTGTAAGTAAATAAAAAAAGCATCTTCTGGTTATAGAAGACGAATAAAACGTATACATCCGGATAAATAGTTTTGAATATTAGTGAAAGATTGATTCAATATTCTCCAGTTGTTTTACATATAAATGTATATACAATAGTTTCTTAATCTGAAAGAGTGATGAATTTTTTATTGAATACCAATCAGAAATCAACTTTAAGCTACCTTGTGACATTTTATTCTTTAGTAAAATTTTCTCTGCTTCAAATAATCAGATTAAAGAAGAGTACATTAAAGAGGACTATTTTAAATAAAAAATTTGTTAACTTAATATTAAATTTTCTTTTACTGTGGGAATCAATTTTGAAATGAGGATGGCTATGCTTATTTTAGGATTCGAGATTAGGCAATAATTCAATTAGTTCACGGGAAGATTTAGCAGACTGGACTGATGTACGTGCATGGGATGCATAAATTAGAAGAACAATGCTGGACGCACCACTCATGTCCAGTATAATGTAAAAAGGGTAACATTTACCCAGTATAATATAACTGAATCATATGTTTCCTTCTCATAGCCTCCTAAACAATTAGAAGGGGTTTCGGACAGTCAAGTTTGGTAAGACCTCCGTATATTATATATCAACTTAACTGACATTAATATTACATTACAATATAAAATTTAAATATAACATACTCTCAAGAAATGAAAGAAAGTAATCTAATAATGGGAGGAGGAATTTCTCTTCTATTCTCACATTTTTTACGAAAACAATTTATTTTTTTTTTTGAAAGGTTTGGAAATTGCATGTGACGCGATCCGAAGAAAGGTACCTAAAAATTTTAGAAGTCTTCGTTATATCTAAAATAGCAGTTAATAAACACTGATTTTATTTTTAAACAGAAACTTTTAATGAGGGTAAAAATAACACAAAACAGTTTTCTTCATAGTGTGCCTATAAATAAAATTAACTTATGTGATCAGTTTGCTTTGGGTACAACAATCCATAAAAGGGATGAAATGGTCTGAGAACATGTAATATTTTAGAAAAAGTAAAATACGAGCCTTGTATAAAGGCTGGTAAGATCGTAAAAAGTAGTATGTAATATGCTGGACGAATTAAGAACAGGAAGTAAAAATAAAAACCGGTGCGGCCCGTGCCTGGGTCTGTCGGTCACTTTCAGGATCGTCAGTACAATGTGGGGTTAGGTTAGGGTTAGGTTTCTCGGACAGTGACCAGGTCATCCCTTGGGTCAGTGATGTCCGACCGATGACCCTGCCCGTCCATTCATACAATTATAAATGCATTAAACCTACCCTCTATCTTTGGAAATCACATTTAAATCAGCGAGAAAGATATTTAAATCGAGCAAGTTACATGTTTTATTGCGTGTATTTTCTGTTATAAATTTTGATGGCACCCTTTCGCCTCAAGGACTTGAAACGGTCAGTTCCGGTTCAGAATATGGGCACACCGATCACAGTGAAAAAGTTATATGGGCTGTCCCATGAAATTTTATAAAGAGAATTACATACGTGTTACAAGAGCTTTCTGTATACCTAAAGAAATTAATCGTTACGATATTCTTTTCAACGAATTGTTTTAAATTTCAAATTATACTTTGTTTCATTCAAGAATAGTGAAATTCAAGAGTATTTTTTTTCTTTATAATTTATTTATTCTTTTTACAAAAGGGAATTTATATTTTCATTAGAAAATTTACAGTATCCTTTTATGAGAAAGTAGAATTCCTCGAGTCGTCGGGACGTTGAACCAGGAGGAATAAGAAAAGTTTTGAATTAGTTTGACCTGAAGATAGAAATAATAAAAAGAATAATCAGGTCACTCGTCCTAGGGTGGTTTTAGCCAATCGCACGGCGCCCCTTTTCGGTTACTGGATTAGGATAAGAAAAAATCTTCACGCACAATAAATGGCGACGTTACATGACGGCCAGCAGAAAAAGAGTTGGAGGGACCAGCGGGCAGCAAATCTACAGACGCAAGACACAAGAATAAAAAGTAAGGAGACAGGAGCGAAACGGAAGAAAGAGTAGTGACAATATGAGGGTCAGCGTCCGTTAGATACGAATTTGAATATTAATTTGGGGTCGTCCTAGACGCGCGGATGGACAAGGATATTGCCCTCAGGTCACTTGGGAAGGAACCCTTAAAGAAAAGGACCCTAGGCCTCATGTTATCCGTTGCTGGTTGTTAATAACGTTCTCCACTGGGCACAAGTGCCCAACATAACACATCGAGGGATGTCGTGTGCATTGTTAACCTTTTCTACCTAAGAAACAGTGGCCACCACAAAGGTCCTTAGATTTACGAAGGGATAAACAATATATTCCTAATAAATAACAATCTATATTTTATAACTGTATTTCCCTTTCCTTTCTTATTTGGATCAAATTTTTTAAATATTTGATTTTAATTTGTTTATTTAGTTTAAAATCCGTTACGAATTTCCAATTTCCACGCTTCTTGGTGTGCCTGCCCTTTGAACTTTCAAATAATATTTCCTACATTCTAAAAGACTCATTAAATGTGGAAAAAATGTCATATTATATACAAAGGAGAATTCATATAAAAAATGTGACATCTTGCCTCTTCTAAATATAGAGATTCGTGAAATTTATTGCCGAATTGTGGACAAATGACCCCGATTCCATAAACGAATGACAAGTTGAAAAAAATATGCTCCCATCGCGAAATCAAGTCAGGTTACCATTTCGAAGGAAACCGCGATGAAAAAGCCAGGGTCAAAGAGAAGGAAGCCCCATCGAATTATACGCACTCAAAGAGGGAAAGAATCATGAAATACGATCAGCTTTTAGTAAAATGAGACCAAAATATAGGGTATCGAAGTTCTTCCACTATTTAAAGGACAATACTGAACGTGAAATGACCATTTCGTATATTATTCTTTTGCATTTCACTACTGTGGTTACGATATAAGATATAGTAGAAAAAATTTATCCCTCCGCGTCACGGCAATTTTTTTCTTCTTTTTTTTTTTAACTTTTCACCATTTAGGGCACCCATTTTTTAACATGTATCATTTCATGGACCTATTTAACTCTGGTGGAGATTTCTATTTAGAATCAAGAGATTTTTATAATATATTTTGTTTTAATTGACAATTATTCTATTTGTTTACTGATTTTATATTCAATTATTTTGAGAATGCTTCAAAAATAGAGTTATGGACAAATATGATATTTGAATGTTTGGTTGAAATTTCAATAAAAAAGGGCGTAATCTCAATAAATCAATCAATAATAATCACCATATGCAAAGAATGAATTTTGCATTTTTTCAATGCGAGTATTGCTGGAAGATTATGTAAAATTTGGTTTACCCTCTTTATTTTCATTGAAAGTTTGCAGCAGCCACCTTTTAACGATTTTTACCTGATGATGACTAAAGTTTAACAAAAGGTATTAAATATCTGGGGCTTCGGAAGACGATCACTTGGAAGCAAAAACTCGTTACTGGAGTGATTGAATAATAGTCGCGTGCCTTTTTAGATATAGTTTAACCGCCAATCTTCAGTTCTTTATAGTGTAGGCTATGGAGTTTGAGCATAATCGTCCAACATTCTATTCGATGATTATATAATGACGTTGAAAAGATTTTACCCTGCTTATTTAGGATCCTTTTATAGAAACAAAAAATTCAATTACCACCGGTGATATTCAATTACTTTTTGCCAATGATGAAATTAAAAACTTTTTACGAAAATATATTAAATACAACAATATTTATGTTTCAGTCGAGAGCCACAAATTCACTTTCAAAGCTTATTTGGACTG